TTTTAATATATAAATTATGTTTCTTAAGATTTTTTATAAAAATAATTTAACAATTTTATCACTAACTATAGTGTATAGGAGAAATTAAAAATGCTACTACAGTAACTATGCACGAGCTATAACTATAATTATTTGTATGGAGATATTTTAAATGTTGATCATAGATTTTGACCAAATTAATAAATGCAGGCATGTAGAAAGATATGTGGATTAAAAAAAATTAATAAATGCTGATAAGGGATTTTGAACAAATCAATAAATGGTGAGTTTTTTTTGTTTTTTAATAAAAAATTTAGAAAATTCAGATTGAGATATTGAAACTCCCACAGGCCTTGAGAGTTAAAAATCTCTTTTTATTTAATATATAGTATAAATTTTTTAAATTATAATTATATTTGTATTTAACTTCCTTTTATTTCATTTTATTTTATTATATATTTTTTTTAAATATCTATCCAAATCTTTAAGGGTTCGTTTGGAAAGTAGGTTGGTTTTTTTGACTATTTTAGTCACAAAAAATAAAATAGGCTATTTTAGTCACAAAAAATAAAATATCACATCTAATTTATAATCATTACACTATTCTCTCACAAAAAAAATTAAAAAAATCAAAAAATTTAAAAATCCTTCCCAACCAAACTTTTTAATCTAAATTAAAATAATTTAAAAAATTAAAAATTAAAAAATTAAATAGAAGGCTTATCTGATTTGGAGCCGGGGCAAAGTTGTTCCCTAATCAGAAAATTAACTGCTCCTTTTGTAGACATTAATGACCCAAAATAATGTCAAATTCCAACTCTCTTTTAAGATAAGCTTTGGATGCCACATCAGTCATTTACAGTAGTTAAAGCAACTTTAAAGATTTGTACAATTTTTCTAATTTTTTTACTAATAAGTATATCCTTATAAAATAACATTCATTAAAAAAATATTTCTGTAAGAACCAGCTTTTTGCAACCTGCCAAACAGTGCCTTATACTTCTTGTGAACCGACATAGCCTACACATAGAGCCTAGCCTAGGCCACACAAAGATAGCAACTACCTACAATCATAAATTGGATTGAAAACAAAAGCAGAGAGCAGAGAGAGGACAAGCAGACCTAGGCTTGCTAGGCCCACCTCCTCCTCCACCTATCATATATATATATACAAAAAAAAAATTTAGGATAAATATTTCGCTTAAGTTTTTTTTTAAAAAAAATACTCTTCCCGTTTCAAAATAAAAAATTTAAAAAAAAATTAATTTTTTTTAATAATATAATTATTACATTTTAAAAATATTAAATTTTTAAAATCATTCTTTCATAATATATATTTTTTAGAAATATCAGCTATTATAATTGTACTTTTTATGTTATTAATAAATTTAAAAGAATGATAAAATAATAAATTTATATTATTTTATTCTTTAATTTTTGAAAATAGATTAATATTTTTTAAAAAAATAAAAAATAAAATAAAGGATAAATATTTTAAAACAAATGAAGTGCAGATAAGGTTGATTTGGAAAGTGGGTTGGCTTTTTTATTTTTTTGACTTTTTTGTGAGAGAAGAGTGTAATGATTATGGATTGAATGTGATATTTTTTTTTTTGTGACTAAAATAGCCTATTTTGTATTTTGTGGCTAAAATAGCCAAAAAAATCCCTAGCCCAACTTGCCAAACGGAGGCTATGTTAAATTTTTTATTTATATCACTTAATTTAATTTTGTAAATCATAGCGATAACTAAGAAAAAAATATTTATTTCTTTGACAATTAAAATAGTATAAAGTTATTACAAAATATTAATTTATTGGAAGATTTATTTATAAATCTTATTATGTTGACTTATAACCCAATAAGTTCATAAGATATTCTTATGTACCACCAAGTCCCATATATTTTAAAGTTTTATACTAAGAGATCATTTTTTTCTTGATTTGTAATTTTTTTGGACTATTATACCCTTTGTTATGTTTTGGTAGTACGAATTATTAACTGTTGCACTATTAATGTTTCTATAGTTTTTTTGAGACTATTATACCCTTGTTATGTTTTGGTTGATACGTTTCGAATATTTATTTTGTAGGGTTTTGAAGTTCTGGTTTATATGTCGTAGCAAGAAAATAGTGTGTGCCTCCGTTATTGCGATAAAGTTTTGTATTCTTCCATTATCGCTTTGTGTTTGAAGCTTTATGTTCTTCTATTGTTGCTTTGCGCTAAAAGTTTTGTGCTCTTCCATTGTTGCAGGTTGAAGCTTTATGTTCTTCTATTGTTGCTTTGCGCTAAAAGTTTTGTGTTCTTCCATTGTTGCAGGTTGAAGCTTTATGTTCTTCTATTGTTGCTTTGCGCTAAAAGTTTTGTGTTCTTCCATTGTTGCAGGTTGAAGCTTTATGTTCTTCTATTGTTGCTTTGCGCTAAAAGTTTTGTGTTCTTCCATTGTTAGTTGCGATTTTACCCCCCCCCCCACACACACATACACACACACAGGATTTGAAACTCCAAATTGTAGTCGGTTGATTTTGTTGCAAACTTGTTCATCGAAGGTGGGTTTGGTTTAATTTGGATTGGTATAATGATGGAATTGTAGGGATTGTTAATGATAATGATAAAGATGAAGATGATGATGATGATGACGATGACGATAAGGATATAGGTGATGGTTTTTTTTATTTTTGGAAAGATTACAATTTTTTGGATTTCTGATTATGTTGCTGCCATTGTTTCCGATTTTTGTAAATATCATCACATCATTAATCAGTGTTAATATCCACATTAATTTAAAATGAAAAATTGTTATTGCGTTGTTGATTGGTGTTAATATTCATACACTCATATAATATTAAATGGTGAATATATTTTCACTTTGTTCATTACCACTGTGACAAATTGATGTTAAAGTTCACATCAATATTGCATCAAACTACACAACCACAAACCTCAATTTTCATTTTAAATATAAACATGGCGTGAATGTTCACACTAGAACATATGAATTTGAATGTTTACATGAATTCTGAAATTGGTTTCAAAGTATTAATTACCATTATGGGATGATAATATTAAAGTTCACATTAAAATTGCATTGCCTATAAATTACATTAAGCCAATGATTATGTGTACACAATTATAAAGTAACTGACAACAATGTGAATATTCACATTGATTTTATAATTTCTAAGAAAATGACAATATCAACATTTCAATAACCACAAATCATTATTTCTGTATATATACAAACATGAAGTATACATTTATGAACAATCAGATTATTGATATGAATGTTAATATCACGAATAAAAATATCAAAAAAAATTAATTTAGTCATATTAAGCAAATGGTTCTGTGACACAATTATAAAGTAACAGAAACTAATGTGAATATTAGAATTGACTTTATATTAACAAATATTATAACAACATACCAATGTACCTTATTATACCACCAAAATAACGAATTCTAGGTCTTTTGTCCAATGTACTTTAATGTTTACAAAATTGCAAAAGGATGTGAAGTTTATATCTATTGATAGTGGATACATTGATTTTGTATGTAAATCATGAGTTTTGTATCGAAAAAAACTATAATATTCACATCAATAATAGTTTTTGGCAAGCTTATATGTTTTTAACATGCATATGATGACTTTATCAAACTTCATGTATTGGTCGATGTTAGCATTTATCAATACATCAAATAATATTCAAAATGAAATTTGGCTCAAGCAGTCTAATTGAACCTTTAAGAACTTGGTAATCGTCATCAATTTCATTAAGTCCATAATGTTTGATCAGTAATTGACACGATGAATATTAATGTAAATGCTTCTCTCTATAGACATGTTCTTCTTTTTTGACATGATACTCCTCCCTTTTCATCTTTGTGTGGAATTTAGGTCCAACATCTATTACATGGGCATGCACAATAGTGAGTATTGATATGAACATTAAATTTGGTTTTAATAGAATTGTAAGATATGCGTGCACATTGACATAAACACATTATTAGTGTGGATGTTCACATTCAATAATATTTATGAAATTAGAGATGTTAACGTCCAAATTGCTAATGGGACATACATAGAAATGGTCACTCATGTGAATGATAATATTCCCATACCTATATAACATTGGGTGTGACTAAGTTCCTAGAAGGGAATGCTCATTATCACTGTCAATGTTAAAATTTACATCAACATTATATTTAAAACGATATATATTAAGACAATGGTTATGTGCATACATTTATAACCAAATAACACCAATATGAATATTCACGATGATTACATACTATCAAACACCATAACAATATCACCAATTCATCAATCACAAATTATAAATTTTTACATCCTACCCAAACATAATATGAATATTAAGTTGACAAACACAGACAATATTATGTGAAAATAGATAATTGTCAATGGTATTTTGCACATTATATCCACATGCATATATTAATTCACAATATTAATGTAGAAATTCACATTCACATTGTATCAAGTTATACAATTACAAAAACAAACCTTGTTTATAAAAATAATAATGCAACGTTCACATTATAACATAAAAAGAAGAAAAATGGTAGCATCAGCAATGTCAGCATCAACGGAAACAAGCCTCACATTTTTTCAAACTTGAAAAAGAAGTTGGCGTATGTAATTTACCTATAAATTTATTAGAAAGAAAGAAAACAAAGTTCACAATACATGTTTGGTGCTCAAAGGCCTAAAACATAGGCACTGTTTGGTTGCCCTCGTTTTTTCCGTTCACAAGCACGTTTTTCAGAAGTTTCTTTTTTTCATTGTGAAGGGTGTTCTAGTTTGAGTTAAAATCTTTCTATAGGGAATCTTCAAAAGAAATTATCCAAAAAAATTATCAAAATTAAAATAAAATAAAATATATGAATCAAATTCATTCATCACATTGAATTTAAATATACACCAGAACCTATTTTATTTTATATTTTAGCTTTTCAAACTAATTTTTTCAGTTATTTTTTATAGAATCCTTATTTAACACTTTCTTCAAAAAAGGCCAATATATATATATAGTGATATCTCTCAACTACAAACAAGCTTAACTTTGTTCATCAAAAGAACAAGAACACAAAAGGGTACAAAGGTGGTTCATAAGAAAGTGGAAGTAGAAAAAAGACATCAAAAAATTACTACTCTAAGCTGCCAATGGTGATCATTATATCATTTTTCAAATGATGTTTCTTCAATCTTCTCTCCCTATCAGCCTTTTGTAAAAGAGGTCTTATCTTCTTAGCATTTCCCTCTTCTCTTAACCATCTTTTCTCTTTCCTACTAAGTTCTGAATTTCTTCCTTCTATGTTCTTCTGTTAGAAGCCAAAAATACCAGTTTCCAAAAGGGTCAGATCTAATTTTGTGACTAGTTGAGTCTCTCAGCAGCACAGCTTTAGTGCTTCAACTTCAAAGTCCCAACACGATGTAGTAAACCAGTGTTATAGGAAGAGCTATTAGCATCCCAAATATGACCCTGCAACCAAAAATCAGTTTAATCAAAATTAGTTGAGACAAAGTAAGCATCAAATATGTTATGTTTCCATGTGAGAAGAACTTTGTACATTCAAACATGCACTCACAGCAATAAGACGTGATCACTCTCATCAACCGGGCCAACCCTCTCGTCTTTACATACAACCATTACACTAAATAAGCTCACAAATAAGTCTTTACTAAAAAAACCAAAAAAGCTAGTTTATTTAGCTTATTCCCAACTCTTTTGGCTTTTTCACGGGAAATGCGCATGCCAAACAACCTATTATAAGCCAGCTTGCCAAAATGGGATGACTTATTTTAGCAAGCTCAAATAGGATAAGGCTGCATATATCTTGCCTTGATCTAATCTTGTTTTAGCAGTGGCGTCATGCACTAGATGACTTGTTTTCTCGACATGAATGCAGACATGCATCAAAGCATGCATATGCATAAATGCATACTACCATTAGGTATGTAGATAATTGCAATTTAACAGATGAGAAGCTAGAAATAAGAAACAAATGTTGAGTTCGAACCCGGTGCTTAGTATGTCAGGATGAACATTGTATTCCTTGGCAAAGACGAAAGGAACAATTCCTTGTGGAAGAGCTGCCTAATAATTCATACAAATGCCGTGTATCAAAATCTGCTAAATTCAGAAAACCGAAAGGAAAAAAATTACCATGAATAACAAAATGTATTTTTAATTCCTAACCTGAACAATTGCAATGTGCAACAGTACACCTCGTAATCCAACAGCAATGGAAGCAGCAGCCATGACTGCTGGACCTGTGAGGAATCGAACGGCCATGGCAAAGGAAGCAATTGTGTTCCCACAAGCAATGATTCGGGGCTGCAATGCCATGAACAAACCTGCATTTCCATACGAGCATTGCATGTGTAACCTAAATTTTCTGGAAACCATGTTGAAAATCTTAAATGGGATTTTCATACATTAACATACCTAGACTAAACATTGCCATTCCAAGACCAGCATCGGATAGGATAGCTATCGATTTGGCTATTATTGCAGGCATCACAATACCCCACCTGCCGAGATAACAAACAATAGTCAGAGACCTAAATAATAAATTATAAACCAATCTACTGAACTGAATGATTAGATTAAATTTGCATACTTGAATGAGATCAAAGACCAAGTGAGACCAAATAGGCTGGAATAAGTATTTGGATTCCTAATGAGCTTCCTCCACACCATTATCAGAATAAGTCGGGTCATAACACTAGCAGGTGGCATTGAGGTTGTCTTGGATTCCCCTTGAGCACCAGTCTTGGGGTGGAGCTCGGCTGTGGAGCTTGAACCGAGCTTAGAGAGGACCGGTCCCTCTCGGTCAGCCCCATTTGCAACCGGTCCATTTCCAAAACTAAACTCGTCTCGACCGTACTCATCATAATCTAATCATTACAATATAAATAAGGTCACTAACCATAAACATAACAAATAACACCAATGGAGTTGCTTACCAAACCCACATTTTTTAGAACTTTATTTCCCCAACTAAAATAGTTGTGAACTTATTCGACAATGATTATTGAAGTCGACTTCAGCCTTGAATCATGTAAACACTGACTTTAAAATAGTTTAGGAGAACCTAATGGACATCATGTTTGCAAACACCTTTGAATAGAAATCGGTTTAAGAAGTTTGGTTTGGTAACAAAACTCTTAACGTTAATGGATTTCACAAGAGAAGACATATAAGACCCAAAAAAAATCATAGGATTCGCAATAAAAAAGCAAGAACAAGAAGAAGTCCATACTTGCGCAGAATCACATTAGCAAAAAAACATTACCAACAAACAAACAAACAAAACCCAACAAAAACAACCTAATATGAATGAAAACTTAAAAAACTTGGGTCTGGTGACAATAACATCAATGGATGTAGCAAGAGAGACAAATAAGACCAAAAATATCATAGGATTTGCAATGAAAAGCAAGAACAAGAACAACCGTATACTTGCCACAAACAGATTAGAAAAAAAACAAATGACAGACAGACAAACAACCTACACCAAGTAGGTAGAGAAGCTAAATCCAAAAACAGATTCAACAAGTCAAAGTTTAGTTACATCAAAAGTAGAAAAAGCTCCAGGAATATTTTGAAAATCATGCACAATCGTATGTAAACAAAATAACAATCCATCAAAGGAATCGTTCAAATCAAACAAACCGAATAATAGTATTGTGAAAAGATCAAGAGTTTCAAACCTTTGGTGTGTGTAACACCACCAAGCTCATTTCCATAATCTCCTCCTCTGAACACATGAATCCCTCCCTCCGATACCGGCGAAGCGCTCGAGCTCCAAACAAACATATGAAGATCTTTCCCACCCTCTCCCCCATTTGCCCTCTTCTTCCCACCGGGCCCCGCTGCCGGAGAGAAAATCCCGGCATTCGCTGGAGCAGGGTACCCTGAATTCCCCTGCCCATACACCCCATTAGCCCTTGAATGATTCCCAAATCCACCAATTCCATTCTCTTCATCAAAACCCAAATTCCCAAAGTTTGATTGCCTTGGGCTCACATTGCTAGCATTCTTTCCATTCACCATTGAATAGAAATCTGTGTGGTTGAAACTAGAACCCCTGGGAGTTGGGTTTCTTGATGATTGCAGAGAGTAAATCTCTGCATTTGTTAGATTTGATGGGCGTGGTGTCAATGAGACGCCTGAATTAGGCCCATGGGATCTCCTTGAGAAGATTTCAGACCTTGAACTGGTTGATTTTCTCACCGTTACATGAAGCTTCCCATCTTCACCAACCTCAGCCTCAGTCTGCAATGGTTCTTTACCATCAAGAGATATGATATCAGAGTCAACTCTGAAAGAGATAATGGACCCAGCAGTGTCTGGGAATTGCTCAGCAATGAGAAGCCTAGCTCCTCTGTATTCAAACAAGAAAAGCATCAGAGTGTACCAAATGATGCATTGGAGGACAACTATTTGGACCATGAGGCTTCCTGAGTCATTACCATACATGCCTTTCAACAGAGGAATCCCCATTACAAGTGTGTTGGGAAGTGTGGAGAGAGAAAACAGAGTGATGGCCCATTCAAGACAGCCTCTAGAGCTTGTTCTTGACCAGATGGCTAGAACCACAAGGACTACGACTTTTTGAAGAGAATCAGCAGCTATGAACCTGTAGTTCATGGCATAGGGATTGTTGGAGGAGATGAAGTGGAAAGAAAGCAAAGGGACTGCAAAGAGGGCAACAAAACGGTTGATGCCTGAACACTGATCAGGGCTGAAGATTTTCCACCATTTCACTGAGCCATAGGCTAAGATCATGGCCACATAGAGTGGAACAACAGCTGTGAGAACATGGTACAGGTCAATGAGTTTGATCATTTTCACTTGTCTTCTTAAGTGATTGAATGGGTTTATGAGGGATTTGAGGAAAACCCAGATGAGAAAATGAGGTAAATCACAAAACCCAGATGGAGATTTCACAGAGTAAAAAACTAAAAGCACAGGCTTTCCGTCTCTTCCCTTCCTGTTTTCTCGCAAGAAAGTGGAGTTTTAAGAACAACCCAAAACAGGGGTCTCCAGTGAGTTGGCCGGAATGTTCAATGGAGGTTGAGAACAATACCCACAAAAGAAATTGCAGGCAAGTATGCAGAGAGAGAGAGAGAGAGAGAGAAAAGGAGATGTTGGAGAGAAGGAGATGTGTGGGGAGGGTGGGCAGAAGTGAAGTATTAGATTTATGGGAAATTAATGGCAGACAAAGAAATAAAAGCTGAGTTCTTTTGAGAAGCTTTTTTAGAGTCTTTTGATGATGGGAAAGACAAACACCTCTCACACGCACAGAGATACATACATATGTATTTATATATATATATATATATATAAAGAGAGAGGGAGAGAGAGAGAGAGTGATGTGAGTGTGTGTGTGTTTAAGAGAGAGAAAGGTATCTTACAGCAAACCTAGCTCTCATTCTCTGTGAGAGGGAAAAGACCAAACAGCATCGGAGAGAAAAGGAAGGAGAGCATGAAAAGCTGAAAGTAAAGGAGGATTCCCATCTGTCCAAAATCGGAATTGGAGGAGCTGTTTGGGCATGTGATGATTTAAATTATTTATTTTATTAAATATTTTGTATATTTTATCTATAAAAAAATCAAATCGATTCGATAATTATAATTTATTTAACTTATTGTATTTTTACTAAAAATATGAATGACAATTATATTTTTAAAAAGTGAATCATAAATTTTTTATGATGATAAAAAAAAAATTAACAAAAAAGTATTTGATAAAATAAATAATTTAAATTATTAAAATGAGACTCATAATAAATTTGACGAGTCGAAGTAACCTCCTGATCTACATTTTTGACCAGAGAAAATCCACCTTCGAAAGTAAAAGGTAAAAATTAAAATTAGACAAGCCCTAATATGATTCTCTCCAGTTTTTGTAATTTAGATTTTTTTTTGTTTGATATTAGTTTGTTTCAATTACTCTCTCTATCTCAAAATATTAATTTCTTATTTTATTTTTTATTATCCAAAAAATATTAGGATTTTTAAAAAATTAAGGATTAAAATCTATGTAGCACGGACACGGACACGCGACACGACACGGACACGACACGGACACGCAAAAACGTAAATTTTTAAAAAATAGGGGACACGACACGCTGGGGACACGTTCAATATATATAATTTTTTTTATATATTATATGTAAAATTAAAAAATATATACTAAAAATTAAAATTAGACAAGCCCTAATATGATTCTCTCCAGTTTTTGGCTCCGTTTGGCAAGAGCTAAACGGGGTTTTTTTGGCTATTTTAGTCACAAAAGACAAAATAGGCTATTTTAGCCAAAAAAACAAAATATCACATCCAACCCATAATCATTACATTATTCTTTCACAAAAAAACTAAAAAGTCCTTCCCAAACCAAACTTTTTAGCCCAGGCTAAAATAGTCAAAAAAGCCAAAAAGTCAAAAAGTCAACCCACTTCCCAAACGGAGGCTTTGTAATTTAGATTTTTTTTGTTTGATATTAGTTTGTTTCAATTACTCTCTCTATCTCAAAATATTAATTTCTTATTTTATTTTTTATTATCCCAAAATATTAGTCTTTTTTAAAAAATTAAGGATTAAAATAATATGAATTTCCTATTTTATCTTTCTTTTAAATTTATTAACAATACAAAAAGTACAATTATGACAATTGATATTTCTCAAAAAATATACTATCAAAGGATAATTTTAAAAAATTAATATTTCTAAAGTTCAATAATTGTAATATAAAAAAAGTTAAATTTTTCAAAAAATGACTATTATTTTGGGATGGAGAGAATATATTTTTTATCTTCACAATATGAAATTTATGATATGTTGGATTTTAATATTTAAATTGTGTGAATTTAATTTTTAGTATTAAAAATATGTTATGGTCGTGTTATTTTGCATTCGTATAAAAAATAAAAAATAAAAATTTAACATTAAAGTATTATTTGGCAACATTTACTGTTTATTATATTTAGCCTTCGCTTGGGATGTAGATTAATTTTTTAACTTTTTGACTGTCTGAGATTAAAAAAGCTCACATGAGATGAGTTTTTTGACTTTTTTGACTTTTATAAGAAAAAAAATAAAATGATTATAATTTAGATATGGCAATTTTGTCTTATTAACTTTTTAACTTATTTTATCTTTGTTAGCTATTTTAATCCAAAAAGTTCATGCCAAACATAGCCTTGGTATATAAAAACATTAAACATGTTTATTGTAAAAATGAAAACAAAAAAACATGTATAGTATATAGATATTTTAAAATTTTACTTTAAAAATAAGTGAAAATGAGTAAGTGCTAGAGGTGGATGTTAACGGTTGGTAATGGTGATCAGAGGTCGTTGTTGGTCGTAGGAGGTAGTGGCCGAAGGTGGTTGACAATGGCTAGAGGTGGTTGATAACTAATGACCACATGAAATGATAGCAAAAAGTGATTGTCGGTGGTCAAAAATAGTGAATGGTTGTCCACTTAAGGTAGTTGTTAAAGGTGATTTTGAACAAAAGGTGGTTACCACCGATGGGAGATGGTTGGTGGCGATGGCAGATGGTTGGTGGTTAAATAAAGGAGGTGGTGGCCGGAGGTGTGGTTGGCAAAGGAGGTCATTGGCAATGGTAACCGATGGTGATGAGCAATAACTAGTGGTCCAAAAGGGTGGGAAGAAGAAAGAATGAAAAAAAAAATATTAAATAAAAAGTGAATCCAATTTTTTATTTTTTTATTTTTTTTGTATTTACAACTTTTTGAGATTGAAAATATAAATTAAAAAAGTTTTTATTTATAGTATTTAAAAAATTTATAAATATAAATAAAAAATTATAAATACAAACATTACCAAACACGAGATAATTTAACTTGTTTATTTTTTCTTGTTATATATGTATGGTGTTATCTCATTTTTTTTTTAATTTTTTATTGTGGCTAATTTATGTTGTATTAATAGGGAGATTTTTTTTACAGTTGGGAAAACTAACTACAGGGTGATGTTAGGCTTTCGTGGGCCTATCACGAAACACCTATTAGATCACAGTGATTTGAACAATTCAATATATAAGATTTATCGAATATTTTATACTTGTAAAAAATTATATTAATGTGATATTGATAACCACTTGAGTGAAACACATTTGTGCCAATAATTTATTTTTAAAATCATACTTATTGTTAATACAAATATGATTTAATTAAGTGACTATCGATATCTGATTAACTTAATTTTCAATAGAAATGAAATAATTGACGAGCCATACACGTTGAACGTTTCAAATTATCGATGTGAACTTCATAATAAGCTTACAGAGACCCAATAACACCCTTCAACTTGATATAGACGTGAGAAAAATATCTCCGTATTAATATGTCATATAAAAGATTTGCAGTTTTACTTATGAATACCAACTATATGTCAAAAGGTAGAAGTTTCTCCCAATTAGTTAAAAAATAATTGTATGGAGACTGAGGGTTGTTTGGGAAGTTCCAATATAGAACATTTTTTAATCTTTTTTATTATTTTTTTTTTGATTATATTACTTGTTTAATTTTTGTTTTGCATCTTTTCGTATAAAGTGAAAAAAAAATACTTATTTAGCATTTATCAAATAATCACTAATGATATTTTGAGAGAGACAAAATATAATTGGTTGTAAAAAAAAAATTAATACAAGGATATCCAATGATATTTTGAGAGAGATGCTTTTAGTAAAAATTTAAGGAAAAATTTATTTATAAGTCCTATTAGGAAGACTTATACTACATATGGTCCTACTAAAAAATTTATGTTCCCATAAGTCCTGTGGGAAGTTTGTTGACACATTTACCCTCAATATTAGTTGTTAATATCATAAATAATAGTAAAACTATATATAGGAAATTGAATGTTATCATAGATCATATCTATATAAACGTAACGTAACGTGACACCTATATAAACGTAACGTGGTACCTGTACGTAACGTGACACCTATACAAACGTAACGTGACACTTACATAAATGTAACGTGACACCTATGATCTATGGTAACATTCAATTCCTAGGAAATTGAATGTTACCATAGATCATAGTTACATAAATGTAACGTAACGTGACACCTACATAAATGTAACGTGACACCTATGATCTATGACAACATTCAATTTAGAAAATTGAATGTTACCATAAATCATATTTATATTAAACGTAACGTGACACCAACATAAACCAACAACATTTTCACATTCAATTTAAAAAAAATAAAAACTCATTAAGTTTGCAAAACGTAATGTGACACGTTACGTTACGTTTATGTAGGTGTCACGTTACGTTTATGTAGGTGTCATGTTACGTTTATATATGAAAAATCTAGAAATCCCCTAGATATTGATTTGTGATTATGTAACTATTTTAAGCAGTATATAACAATCTCAATCAAACAATCAAGACAAATCAACACAACGATTTTAATGTGAAAAAAATCACAATTGGACACCTCCAACTGTGATTAAAAAACCACGGGCAACAGCCACAAAACAATCCACTAAGAAAATTTAAAGGAATTACACAGGTATACTCTCAATTACCTAGCGAATCCACGCCTAATTGAACCAACCTCTATGTGCCTCTTCCAACCCGTCTTCACCTCGGAATTGTCTTTACGATGAGCCACTTTGGAATCCACCAAAACTTCAGGCTCGAAATTCTTCAGAATCCACCGAAGAACAACTCTCTCTTTTGTAGAACAAACAAAACCTTTGATGTATACTCTTTAAAACATGAGTTGAATACCCAATCAAAACATCAAAGAAAACTAACAAAATATCCCTAGATATAAACCTTAAGAACCAAAAAGAAGATCTGGAGGAATTCAGGAGTATACTAATTTTGGGAGAAAACCAACTACATATAGAAAATCAAAAGTAATCCTAGATGTGGAAGAAAACCCAATCCTTATTGAAATCCGGAACATTGTGTTCGCGCGGTTCGCTCGAGCGCCCAACATCCCGCTCGAGCGTCTTCAGCAAAATATGCGTGTGACAAAACAGAGGTCCGCTCGAGTGCAAAATCACACATCTCAGTACTTTTACAGGCGACCAAAACTGCTGGAACCAGGGATTCTCCACTCGAGCGGGGTAATGTTCGCTCGAGTGGACAGGCAACTTGGAATGCATTTTTGCATTTTGATTCAGGGGCGCTGCCTCGGACTCGCCAAGGGACGCTGTCCCCTCGACCCCCGCGAGTTGACTGGGCAGCTCGATCCTCGTCATAATCAGCGAAGTGGCAATCTTGAAAGCTTTATCATCACAAAATTCTCTGAAAGGCACAATTCGGGT